TTGCGTGCGGGTGAGTTGGGGGTGTGGCAGATCGCTGGAAGGTGGGAGGGAGGACGGAAAAAAACCGGACAAAAATGGTGGGACTAAAATAAAACCCGGAACGCGACCTACCAACTGAGACATTAGGAGTTTAGATCTCCAACCGTTTCCCCGTAAAATAACCATTGTTTAGGGAAAGTTGAACAAAAAAACTCTCCAACAATTCTCATAAAAATGCACATCCTGTATAATCTTCAAAACTTTTCATTCATCTATGACACGTTAGATAAATCATCACTAAAACTGCCACTCAACTGAAATTACCGTGCAACCGTGCCACTTCCAGTGACCGCCGCCGCCGCCGCACTTAATGTGCCACCGCGTCACCTCCAATGACCACCACCTCCGCCGCCAATCACCACCATCCCCTGTCAGCCTCTGCTGGAGGTCATCATCGTCGTCGCACCACCGCTAACAACTACTTTCAGGGGAAAATTTTGCGGACACTGAGAAAAGACCTCACCTGAAACTTCCTCTAAATTATAAAAACATCTCGTATAATCATTTTTATGGGAAGGTTTTAACAGGAACTGTTGGAGATGGAAAATTATCGTAGTCGCTTCTATTCCCGTCCAAAAGAAGATGAGCTTATGTTTCTTTCTTGTTTTAATTCTTTATGGGAGATGACACGGAATTGATAGTATTTGTAGTAGCGTGTTTTTTTGCGTGAAAAATGCATAGCAACACAATTACAGAAAATTATTTTTGCAGGGTAAACTATTGGTTACATTATTTTTCTTGCACACCATCCGTTTTGGCAAGCCGAAGGAGGTACTTTTTCTCCCGGTTGAGCTAGCAGAGAGAGAAAAGAATTAGGGTTTCCACCCCCTCACTCGCTCTGGCGCTAGTCCGCTCTGCCTTGGGCCCTAAAGGTATGGTGGCCTAGGGCTCCCCTTGATTTAGGTGGCTTTACTGTCCTTGGGTTGTCAACTTGTCGTCAACGTGGAAGGTGATGGACGTGAATAGGGTGCATCAGAAAGAGGATCAACTACGAGGGAAATGTAGATCTATCTTGGAGCAGCCGCTATAAATCTTGGTATGGGTACCCGGGGGCCGACGACCTGAGCCTGAAAGCCTAACAGTCGGGTCCAGTTCTAGTTTTCCATTTGAAAGGCAAAAATAGAAAAAAAAAACTGAATATATTAAATCTAGTATATCATTGTTTGAAAAAATAGGTATAATAATGCATTTTAACATTTCAAAATTTTAATTAAAATAATAAATATGTTCGGTCCAACTAGCATATTTAACTTGCTAATGATCAGCGACCAACTAAAAATGCTCAGACAGTAGATCACAAAATTAATTGTGTACACCGAGGAAAAAAAAGAACGCTACTACAAACTGGTGGTGATTGCAGTTCGTCCACCATGAGCGCAAACATTAGTTGAGAGACACATCGCTTCAGTTTTATCACAGCCAGCAGTCAATTTAATCTACGTAATATATTTCCCAATAACAGTTGCAGAAAACAGAGCTTGCCCTTCATACTTGACCCGCTTATTCCGCAGACAGCTGCTTCAAAATGCAGCAGAGCGTCATCCGCGGTTCTAGTCGTTGTGCTCCCGGACCCGGAGCTCCGCGAAATTCACCGCACGGCACACGTCGTGCCGTGTTCAGTCTGTAGCTCTGTCAGCCATCCACCAATCACTTCCTGCAACAAACAGGATACATGCACCATTATTGGTTATATATGATTTACAATCCGACCCAAGTTCAGAAACAAACAAAATGAAACGCATCACTTCTATTCAAAGAGTTCAATCATGCCAAAGTGAAAATCATCTGTTACATTCAATACAGGTTCAGGCCTCTGGCCCCAAGTTCAGAAATAAATAAAACGCAATCGGTTGGGTACATCCAAAGAACGAAATCATACTAGACATTTTCAGTACAGCAAAGGTCTCCGGCTCAAGTTCAGAGAAAAAAAAATACAAGACCAAATTCGATACATTGCAGGGCACTTGGCCTAAGAGAAAGAAACAGATCAAGGTACTTGCACATCTTTACGATATCACGTGCTTTTTGCCCGTCAAAGTGAACTGTGGCATCAGTCCAGGCTGCCACAATTTTGTTCAGCATATAGTTTGAATTAGGGAACAAACAGTAATCAAAAGTAACAGAAATGTATTCCTGGGACAAAATGATGACAAACGTGTGGCAGTACAGCATAAGTGTATACGGTACATGCATGTGGACATCTACTAAAGCTCATTTGGACATCTGCAACCACAATAGATCTAAGCAATTCTGTTGCATAAGTTTAATGATCCAATATGTACGGTTTATGCAGCTATCAAATATGATGAGGCAGAAAATTGTGTTATAAGAAACTAAGAATACAAGTTAATTGTGGTTCACACAATCAAAGACACAAAACAAAATGTCCAACCAGTATATATGCCGTGTTCATATATACCTTGTGCTTTCATTGCCATCTAACCGGTAGATAGTGTGTAGACATCCAGGTCTTCGCCATAAAGACCTTCTTCAGGCCTTCACAATCCTCAATCACAAGGAGCTCGAGCACTGGGAGGTCCTCCACGGCCTTCAAAATGTTCGCTCCAATTAACAAGAGCTCCTTCAAGCTGGCGGTGTCCTCTCCAAGCTGTCGCGGGAGAGCCCTCAGCTTTGGGCAACCTTCGACTTTCAACTTCTCCAAACGAGGCAGTAGTGGCAATCGTGTAGATTGGGCATCACCGTTACGAATCTCATCACCACCATCCTCTCCTCCTTCATCAACAACATTTTCCACTCCCTTAAAAAAAGACCACTCCTCCCAGTTGGACATATCCTTGATGAAGAGCCACTCAAGTTTAGGGAAAACAATGAACTCGTTGCTTATGGGTTCACCCACCCTGTAGCCAACAAATTTAGGTCCAACCTTGGTAACTGCATGTGCTCCATCAATTCTCAGAAACTTCAAGTTTGGTAGCTGTCCGACCGGTGGAAGATCCACGCATGATCGTAGATTTTTTAGGAACAAGTGTGTTAGTGAAGACAAACAGGCGGTACCAAACCATGTGGGTTTCCCGGTTGCGTGGAGGTACTAGCAGCTCAAAGACCTTCTCAGCATTGCTAACCTCAAAACTAACGTGGTCCCTCTCCATGTGTGGTCCACTCTAGCACCAGTTCTTTTAGATGCTTTTTGTCCTCCAGCACTACATTTGTACGACAATGAGCCGTTCTTTCCAATTTAACTAGATTAAGATACATCATTTGCGGCAAAGAAGACAACTCTTCCAACTTCCATCCATCTTGTATATCAGCATTATCACTTCTGTCGCCGACAAGAAATCCTCGTAATTCAGAGCAAATTTAATTTTCCTATCCCTTTTGGAACCTTATTTACTTTTGTACCAGTAAGACGAAGACATCGTAGATTGCACAATTGGGTCATCCCCGACGGAAGACTGTGCAGAGCATCACAATTTATCAAGCTCAATACTTGAAGGTTCTTTAGGGATCCAATGGATTCTGGAAGATGAGATATGCCAGTATGACCAAGATCAAGTAAGCGTAGATGGATCAGTTTTGCTATAGAATCTGGAATGTTTCGCACAATTGAGTAATTCAGGGCCAAAACACGAAGAAGTAGAAATCTCTTGAAGAATGCATCCTCAATTTTCCATGGACCATAAAAAGCAAGGAATGTCCTGACCTTAACTACCATGTTATCCATGCTAGTTAACACTAATTTATCCTTCTTACTGACAACAGAAAGGCGTCGCAATTTTGACATATTCTCACCCCTCAATGTTTCAACGTCTCCAATAAAGCATTCGTCCTGTGATAATTTGCAAGCAAGCTGTCTTAAGAGGTCATGCATTCTGCATTGAGCCTGGTTAAAAATTGTGTTATCTGGTTGGAGGAGATTCCGATGGATTAACTCATAGTAGTACCCTTCTGCTGTGTCTTCTAGTAGCTGACCTTGTTGCTCCATAATGAATCCTTCAGCAATCCATAACTTTGTAACTACACCACGGTAAATGATAGAATCTTCAGTATACAAAGCACAGTAAAGGAAACACTGTTTCAGACGATGCGGTAACTCATCATAGCTTAGGTATAGAGCGCCCTCTATTTCATCAGAGAGCATCCCATGGGAGCCAGAGTATTTGCCTAAAAACTTTCTCCACTCATTCTCGGTTAGATCTTTGCTTGCCAAAGCACTAGCAGTAACCTTAATTGCAAGAGGGAGGCGACCACATTTATCAACAATCTCCATGCATGTGTTTCTCAAATTATGCACTTCTTTCTCTTCGGCAATGTTCATGCTCTTCCAAAGCAGCTCCCATCCCACCTCTGCTGACATGAGATCAACTTGATGGGTATGTTGTATGCCTATTCTCATTGCAATTTGATCATCTCGTGTGGTTACCAATATTACTCCAGAATTTGTTGTATGGAATGGGGTTCTTAATAAATCCGTCCAGACATTGGGATGCCACACATCATCTAAAACCAGAAAGAAACTCTTCCCTTCGACTGTTTCTGCAAGCTTTCTCTGCAGTTCTGCTATGGTTTCACCTTGCTCATGATACACACCAATATTTCGAAGAACCTCTTTTAGAACAGTTACTTGATTGTAGTCTTGCGAAACACAAATCCATGCCTGTAGCTTGAAGCTTCCTTTTATTTTTTTGTCATTGAATATTTTCTGAGCTAGTGTTGTCTTACCAACTCCTCCTGTTCCAACAATAGCAAGCTTATAAGACTTATTTCCCTTGTGAGCAAGTGCTAAGTCTACCAACTTCTTGCTAGAATGTATGATCTCCTTACCCACAAGGTTGGGCTCAACAAGGTTGGAACTTCTTATCACTTTGGATGTTGGACCATTTCCAGTAGGTTGTGTACTACTGCTGAATGTTAAAAAAGTTGTATCTTTTGAAATTTTCTCTATCCTTTTGTTCAGACTTTTAATCCGAACAGCAACATCGTGGCGTGACCCGATGTTACAAAAGCAAGAGGAAACTGAAAGGCCTTTATAGGAAGCTGATCTGCTTGATGATGATGGATTGTCAAGCAGTAGCTTGCTTCCTTTGCATCTAGCCACGTCCAAGATTTCATCCACATCATATATAACATCTCTCAGTTGACCAAGCCAATTGTTCACTGCAAGCTCTTTTGTCCTCCATTTCTCAGCATCATATATACAACAACGTATTAATTCTACCCGTTGCAACACTTCTGCAAGCTCTTCTTCCACCCCTAGGATAAGTATGGCCTCATCACTAATAATATTTTGCAACTTATTGGCACATGATCCAAGCAAATATTCTAGTATGGCTGCCATTGATCTGAGGAACTCAGCTCAGGCGGCCCACCAAAAACACCAGGTTGACCTGTTGGGGGATGGCAGCAAAACTAAAAGGGTGAAAATGAATTCACAAGGTAAACATGCTTTCAAAACTGATACAAGTCTTACAAGATGTGAAAGATATCACTAGTGACTTCCTATTTACATTTTCAATAAATTTAGCATAATGAAGCTCTGTAAGGTACCCCGCAAAAAAGAAGAAGAAGAAGCTCTGTAAGGTACATAAAAATTCAGCACCCTGAGTAGTGCCACATATTATGGTCTAAAATCCTGAGTTGACATTCAATATTTTCATTTTCTGCGTTTACAAATTTACACGTGCTTTAGTTTTGTACATTAAAATGAATTATTGCTATATTTTGTACATATTGAACCACAGAAAATAAGTGTATATTTTAATCTAAGTATGGAACAGACAGATTAGTCTTTACCTTAGAAAGCAGTTTTCCAACAAGGAAAAAACCATCAGTAGTATGAACCAATATTGATCACTTTGAAGACACGGTTTGCTTCGACCAACCCATCACTGCTTTTAAGACCTCACAAGGTCGAGCGCAGGCCGGTATAAAAATAGAGAAGAGAAGATCATCAATCAAGTCACGAAGAATAAAACCATGCTGCCATCACCTGCAGTAGATCATCTAAAAACTACTCCCTCCGTTCCGAATTACTTGTCTCGGATTTGTCTAGATACAGATGTATCTAGACTCATTTTAATGCTAGATACATCCGTATCTAGACAAATCTAAGACAAGTAATTTGGAACGGAGGGAGTAGTGAACAAAAGGAGTGCCGGACAGTGATCAAGGTGCAGACCATTGAGATAATATGTACCTGAATATAGCGCCAACGATATCTTCAAATTCTCTCCTTGATTTCCTGATGCCTTACTAGCAGCCTGCTGGATACAAGCAAGAGAACAAATAAATCACAGCTGGTTGGATATCCAGAGAGACAACACTAGTTGGCAAACTTAAGCCCCCCTCCTCTGCTTCTGTAGAAAAATGCAGGCTAAAACAGACAGCCTATTCAACAAAGGCGGCTGTGCTGAGTCTTGTGAAAGAGACTGGCGAGCTGCTTAGTATTAGCGTCGTTGCTGTGTACTACTAGTAATTTACTGCTAACATTCGTCACTGCCAACTGCCCAATGATGCATAGATTAGGCCAAGTAGCGCTTGAAGACGGTCATACTTCTTTTGATAAAGGGGATTCTGTCGACTTGTGCCAGTCCTAATGTGAGTATACAAATTGCTGTACCTAATGTGCCCACCTCATCATCTAGACAGATAGTGCAATCTTCCTTGTAGCAAGAAACCAAAAATAAGGGAAATAAACAAAAATGTTAGCAATTAGAGAAATAAAAAATAAAATAGCATAGAAAATAAAACTGCAATAAAAACTCAAAGAAAAGAAAATAATATTCTCTCCGTCCCAAAATAAGTGAATGTTGTACGAAGTCCGCGTCACCTATTTTGAAGTGGAGTGAGTATGGAAAAAGGGTCCAATTTTTTTTGTAGCAAACAACATTTGCCTTCTGCTGCTGGTTCCAAGAAAACCGACACATAAACTTTAGTTACAAAAATAAAATGAAACCACATCTTCCTTTTTGCTACTAGTTTGCATTGGCGCACGGGTTTATATTACATACATTGGCATCACAATCAATTGGGTCTACAATTTAAGACCGGACCACCCGATTTTGACCAGGTCAACATTTTTTCCTGCTCTCTCAATCAATTATTTTAATTAAATATTCTTCTTAATTTTAAAGCTCTCCTGTTTGACTGAGGTATTCAATTTTGGATTCGGTTCATATTTTGATGGGTCAACGATTTTTCAAATCAATCGGCAGCAACCGGCCTAGAAAATATGTCAATCCCATGCACACTCTCACCACTTAGAAAAATACTCCCCAATTGTTGAGGCCTCATAGTCAATTTAGGAATCCAATTTGAAATTGGGTCACCTGATTTTGACCGGGTCAACAATATTTTATTCTCTCAAGGAGCTCGCTCGATCATTTCTTTTAATTCACCTTGCTTCCTAATTTTGAAGCTTTCCATTCAATTGGGGTATTTAATTTTGAATTTGGTTCAGGATTTAGGACGAATCAATGATTTTCAAATCAATCGGCAGCAACCGACCTACAAAAATATATCAATCCCGAGCACCCTCTCACCACCTAGTAAAATGAAACACCAATATGTTATATTGTAGCATCAATGTAGTACATGCAGCCATCGATGCAAAAAAATTCCACATAAGTATGAGTTGACACTAAATCACACCTTGAAAGCTCCACCAAAACACCATATTATAGATAAATAAAAAACACACACCATCATCTTCCTCACTCGCATTATATTTTTTTTAACATCGACATCGACCATACCAAATAAGTAAAATGTAAAAATTTATTTCATAATGAATCTAATAATACCGATTTGATATTATGGACATTCCTACAAATT